ACCAATTCTTTTTCGGATGCTGCTGCGTTGGCGGTTGCGCACAAGCACAATTGACAACTCGACACGTTCGTCAATAACACCACCGTGATGTCATACGTATGTAATAGGCAACATTCCGGGGAATTACCCATTCTCCCTGCCATGTAAAGAAGGGTTATTGCCCCGCGACGTGTTGAGTTGATGAACGCGTAGAGAGTTTTTTTATTTCCATTATTAATCTGCCGTCGCAGCAGCAACAGCAGCAGCTGCACCATCTACACAATCTCCGTACATCAGCGTCCGCACGCGAATCTCCGCGTGATCCGCCAACCATGGTCTCCAAACTACGACGGCGGATCTCGGGCGTGCGCCAACGCGCCCGGTCTCCCGGAGCGAGGGAGTCGGTGCCGCGAGGGCGAGCGAGGGCCGGACAGCGTAGAGGGGCGTGGGAACATTGCGGCCGCTAATCGTGGAGATTAATCTAATCCCCCCACCCCACGTCCCCCACCCCCCCCACAGACCCCAGAAAATTAACTAAAGGAAGGAGTGACAAATAAATAAATAACACGGCTCGAGTGCAGGCCTCGCTGCGTCCCAGACGGTCGAGGTGTTTTCGGCTGACGAGGTTCTGGCGCCGACAGGCCCCTGCAGCGAGCGTTAACCCCTTCAAAGGGGTCCCTCCCTCCAGCCCGAGCCGTTCCCTCTCCTCCTACCCCCACTCCCCACCACCACCACAGCCGCCCGCCCGCCTCCCTCCCCCCCGCTGAGTTATTTGGCCGTCGTTAGGGGCGTCCATTCACGTGCCTCTGCGGGCAATTAGGCCGCTGCTGATGGTGTTTTGTGCCCGCTCCGTGCGTCTGAATGGGCCGCTTTGCACAGGTTAATTACTGAGCATGGGCGGCGAGTGCACTGCGTTGTGTGGTGGTGGTGGTGGATGTGGGTCTTTTAATTCAAACAGGTATGGAAGGGAAATTGAGATTAGAGCGTCTTGAGTAGTCTACGGTGGTTAACTATACGTTCCATAATTTTTTTTAAACCAGATAATTAAAACGCATGTAGAGCATGTATTGAAGGACAACTGAGATTCGCGTATGCGGTACTTTTTTGGCATGAGAGATCTGGGGGTGATGTAATTGCAGAGGGAAAGGTGATTGCGTTTCGTTAATGTTCATTTTGTTTTTAAGTTATGTTTTGTCAGTGAGATTGCAACTTGGATCCGGTGTAATGACACCCTCCGTGGAAGGTAAATCCGCTTCTTTGGAGCTGCTTTTCTGTGTTCCGATTGTTGTCCTTACCCCGTACCTCAGATTAGCACAGTTGGCGACATACGGCGCGAAAGAAGTTCAACGTACATACACACAACGGATTGCCCCTTGACCATGATGTCACGCGTTACAAATGTCTTGCTGTGTCGAACACATTCGCTCGTCGAGAAGGATCTTCAGACAATCGATTCAGGATCACGCGTGTGCAGGCATGTCCCACGGCAGTTCGCAGCAAGCTTCGTGAGCAAACAGAAGTTTAGATAAAGTCCGTCATTGTGGATTTCAAGCTTTCGTGACTGCAGGAATCCATACTATTTGGTTATTTCGGTAAAGTCACGTAGGTAGAAAGAACCAAAGAGTAATGTCCGTCATAGTATAAACTCAAATTTTATTATCTTAAAACGCATTCGATTAAAAACAATATCCAAAGAGCCACTGTGGTCATCCAGACCACACAATGCATAACGACGCATTGCCCGATACATAGATACAAAGACATCACAGCGACTCACTCCGCTGATCCTGACGCTGTTATTTGGCTTTAACCACTAAAATGGTCAATTGTAGCTGTTGGTCTGCATCTACATCAGCCATACGAAATAAGATTATAGAAACCAAATTATATTTTTGTATTGTTTATACTGACGTCACCTCCCTCCATATCTTACCTCCCAGTCACCTTCATCCACCTCCATCCATCCCGAGCCCCCCGTCCCCCCCAGACATCTTCCTCAATTTCCTTCAACCACCGTCTCTCTGCATCTCCCCCAATCTCTTTCTCTACAATTAAACCTTCCTGTCGCTTAAAAGCTGAAATCGTTGAAGAATCCATTTGGCATCTCATATCACCGTTGAAAACAATAATGTTCCCGGAACAACAATTATGATGACACATCCTTTATATATCCAGAAAGATTCTTGACTTTTTTTTAGACTCTGTTTGAGTCTTTAGCCTCTTTTTTTCCCCAAGACGGTTCCTGCATTAAGAAGTTTGGCCAATTCTATGAATGCGTGTGGGAGGAAACAGGAGCACAGAGAGAACACTCCACCGTGCGTACATGCACCCGGAGGTCATTCTCAATGCTCCACACACACGTAAAATAAAAAAAATCCATCGTTATATTGCCATCCGCTGATCACTTCGGTGTGCAGTATACAGCATCTGTTATTCCCAGGCAGACTTGCATCCTAACGTACAGCTACGTGGAGGCGCCTTGCCTGTTCAATCATCATCTTGGGCATAACGCCCTGAGCAAGTATCGACAGGAAAGCGCAGGCGACAGATAGTATGCATATATGTTGAACTTCTTTCGCACCGTACGCAGCCAGCCGCGCTAATTGCGGAGGTGCGAGTGTCGGAGACTTGGAGGCGCCTTGCCTGATAGTCATCATCTGGGAGCAAAAGCTCTCGGAAATGATTTGACAGACAAAAAGGGGAGACCTCCGATTAGCACTGTTGGCTACGTACGGTGCGAAAGAGGTTCTACAAGTGGAGAGAGTGAGGGCAGGAACGGAGTTCTGAGTGTGGAGTTACTGAAGCCTGCTACCTGCTGTATGGCCGCTGGTGACAGCGTGAGTTGGGTCCCTTTGACGAGTACTAAACACGTGATTTGGTGATGCTGCGTTGGCAGTGGTACACCATAAACTCAAGACTGTACATTTGTCAATAACACTGCAATAATTTAATCATGTATAACACGTGACGTTTCGGGCAACGACTCTACCTCATAGCACATGAAGGGTCATTCCCCGAAGCGTCGCACATTGTAGATGTTTCATTTGAAGGCCACGCGATGTTGTTATATGACGAAAGTTATATACATGCTTTTTATATATTTAACTCACTCCGTCTGTTGTCGTATCCTCAAATCTCAATTTTAACCCACTTCCCAATGTGGTATCGACTGCAAACTTGGTATACTTATGTCATACTGATGACAATACTATATTCTATCATACAAAATATAAAACATTTATTTGAAAACATTATTTTTTATATTTTATGTTTCGGCTTGGGTTTAATTGTCCACGGTAAACTGAAGTTCGCTGTAAGTTACCACGGTTCCTTACGTTATGGCAAGCTTCGGGGCCACTTCCTGGAGTCGTGGAGTTCTCCCATTACTAGTACGCTACATTTCATTAAAGCGTGTTTTAAAAAAAAAGTTTTTTTAAATATATTACTTATTTTAAATGCCGCCTGTGCAAATACACCACATGACAATGCGCGCTCGCAAACCACATTGAGAGCTGTCGCGGAGTAAAGAGAGGTGGCCCATCCAGTGACAGAAAAAATATATATTTATTAAAATACAAATTTCAATTCACATCTTGAAATATAAACGCGCATCATACTCCCTATCGGCAGCGTACCGTACAAATATTATACAATATAAATATGTTATTAAATCGACGTCGCCGTCCAACGTTACAGAGCTCGTGTAACGCGAATAGTGCAATAGAAAACCTCGCCAGGCCAGGTTACAAAGTACACGTGGTCAGCGTAGCTCATAGGCTGGAGCGGTGGCGCAGCGCTTGGCGCACTGCCACGCTGAAACCCCCTCAAACCCAAGTTCGATTCGCGGCCGCGGCTCTCATGACATAATTCAGCGCCGAGTGAAACCTGAGCCGGTCCTGGACCACCACCAAACTACTCAACCCCCCCCCCCCCCACACACCCATCCATCACCAACCGGCATTGTGAAGTAGGGTCGAAGAGTCACGTAGGTATAAGATAAAATATACCACGACGTTTCGATTGCAACACAAGCAATCGTCATCAGGTTGGAAAACTTCAGCAAACATTTTTGTTTCTTGCTGTGGTTTTCCCACCTCGTGATGATGATTGCTTGTGTTGCAATCGAAACGTCGTGATTTATTTTATTTTCTACCTACGTGACTTTACCGAAAGAACCAAAGAGTATGGATTCTCGCAGTCACGAAAGCTTCAAATCTAGATTATGGTCGAAAAATGTAACGAAACCATCCGCACAGCTGACACGGCGTGGGTAGGCCTCCAGCCAACCAACAGTTGAGCAATGGCTCGACCCGGGGGTTGTTTGTCAATCGATGTTGTGAGCTCGTGTTTGATCTGCAAGCCCAGCCCATTGCGCTCTTGGCATCACGTGAATTGACGACGAGGATCCGTTAGGAACTCTCGCAAAGCAGTGCACAGAGATGAAAAAATACTGATCTAGTAGGTACCCCATCCCCCCATCCCACCGCGAACCCCCTTCCCCCCCCCCCCCCCCCCCCCCCCCCGCATATTGCACATTTTTTATGATCCCATCACGATCATCGTCATCTCCAGGGTTGCATCAGCTACCTTGAAGAAGAAACGAAACGGCTCTTCTCCGGCAGCTAACCACCCTGGTTATGTGACCCGGCCTGCCCCACGCAGGAGTTCGCAGCTCCACGAGAAAGCAGACGTTTAAGTTGCGCCTATGTTGGTCGGATTCCTCCACTACAAATACATAAATATCCTGATTCTGGTCGTTATGTCGCTCGAGTGACGTCACGCCACTCATTATTCTTCTACTCCCATTTCACCAGACACCTCCATCGCTCCCGATCTCCTCCACACATCTCCCCTCCCCCCATCTTCATCTCTGTGCATCTCTCCCAATACATTGCCAACTCTTTTCCCGTGTGCCCCCCCCCCCCCCCCCCCCACAATACTGTATTGACATTTACCCCCACCCCCCATTCTCCCTCCCATCTCCTTTGATCTACATCGAAGGATTGCTTCCTGACGTTATTCACGTGCATTGCGGCCTTTGAAATATAGTTTCTTTTTTACCGAATTCAATATAAATGGCTCTTCTTGTTATGTTGGTTGCCGACCCTTGGTCTACATCAATCTACTCCGATCTCAGACAGGCGGCAGCGGCAGCAGCGGCAGCAGCAGCAGCAGCACTGTCCGATCTTGGGTTCTGCTCCCATTGCTGCCCTTTTGACCCCGGCACTTTGGTCCGAGTCCGGGCTCCTAGTAGAGGAGCAGGTACGGGCAGCAGGGCGGGGCCGAGAACGCGGGGGGTGCGGAGAGGGGCGGGGCCAGAGCCCCCAGCGGCGTCAACCACGAGGCGAGGGGCGGGGCGAGGGGGAACAGCGGGGGGGCGTGGGGGAACGCGCCCCCACCCCGCGCCCCCAACTCCTCGCGCTTCTGCTTCATGCGGCCGGTTCTGGAACCAGGTCTTCACCTGCAGAGGGGCGGGGTGGGGGCACATCATTAGATTATTGTTTTCAGGGTCACTGCCACCATGCTAAATATGATTTGTGTTTTGATTTAAAGCTTTCGTGACTGCAGGGATTCATCTTCTTGGTTCTTTCGGTAAAGTCACGTAGAAGGGAAGTAATAAAATAATAAAACATAATTAAATAATTCTCACGACGTTTCGGCTACAACGCAAGCAGCCGTCTTCAGGTGAAGAATGAGACACTGCTAAGCTTGGAGCTTATATATAAGCTTGCGTTGTAGCCGAAACGTCGAGAGAATTATTTTATTATGTTTTATAATTTTTTTTACTTCCTTCTACGTGACTTTACCGAAAGAACCAAGAAGATGATTTGTGTTGTTTAATTGTTGTGTATTGATGGGGGGAGGGGGGCAGTGGTGAGCGAGCGCACTGCGCTACGAATTCGGCAACCTGAGTTTGATTCCTGACCACGACTAACATATTGGAGAGTGATATCCCTTCCGATTCTTGGTGCTCTCCTTTCACCAAACCGCACTGACCAGCGGCGTGGTGAAGTATGGTCAAACTACCCCCATGACTGGCACAACAGTGGAGACTGGGTGTACATTCCATATACAGCCTCGCTTTCCAATTAAAGTTGTAGACACGCATTTTGCCCTGTCCGTCTGTCCGCATCCCCCCGGGGTGAGCGGCACGATGGTAACTCATCGTGCAGAGATGATGCACTGCTAACGTGCTGCTACCACGTGGACTGTAGCGAAGTCGTGACGATGACGACAAGCGATGACGCGTGCCCGCCTCCTCACCTGCAGGTCGCTCATGCCGAGCTGGCGGCCCAGCTCCCCGCGCTCCGCCACGCTCAGGTATCTCCTGCGGCGGAAGCTGCTCTCGAGCTCCGCGAGCTGCGCGCTGCTGAACGCGGTGCGCGCGCGACGGCAGAAGCCGGCGGCGCGGCGCGGTCCGTGGCGCGGCGCGTCTCCCTCCTCCTCCGCCTCCTCATCCATCCGTGACGCCACCGCTTGTAGCTGCTGCTGCTGCGGGGCTACTGCCGCTGCTGTTGCTGCTGCTACTGCAGGGCGCGGGGCTACTGCTTCTGCTCGAGTGCTGGGAACCTGCTGCGGGAAGGGAGGGTGGAGATGGAGATGAAGTTGGGAGTCGCGACAAATCCACGTGGCGCGCGAGACGCGCACTCGCCACTCACGTGCGCGAGATGCAGCTCCCGTTGCCGGGTGAAGGGACCCCCACAACTTGACACGAGACTCCACAGCGTGGTTGTGACAGGGCAGTGCAGCAAGTAGACGCGTCTGCACAGCGGACATGTGTGTACGCGCAATGGGGTGTACTCCGGGTAGTCGGGTTTAAATCCCAAACGAAGCAAAACTGAAATTTGGCCAAACGTCCCGACAATACAGGACCCTCCTTAAAATAAGTATTGAGACTCGGGGAGGTGAGAGACCAACGAAGGCGGCCCACACGCTCAGTGCGCTCTCGCTTGAATGTCATCGAAGTAGGTTCAACAATTTCCACCGACCATCCTCGAGACAACAACGTGAGCGAAGAATGAATGACGATGATCCACGCGCGAGTTGTCCATCTCACCTGGGCTGCTGGGGCACGAGTTGGGACGACAGTCAGGCGAGGTCGATCCTGCGCGTCGCTGTTCGTCCAACGATGACTGCGACGAGATGAAGAATGATGACGGCGACGACGAAGATGATGATAAGGAATAGTAAGACGACGACGGTGATGGTGATGACAAGAAGGAAGCGGATGGCGACAGCTCCCCAGCCACCGCCGTCGTCTCCACCGCTCCCCGCTCCACCTCTCCACAGCTGATGCCCGCCAGCCACTCCACCGAGGAGAACATGCTCTTCGTCATGGTAGCAGACAGATCCTCGCCGCTTGCAGGATAGCGAATGAGCCGGCTCCCGTGTGCAACAGGGGCTCATGTACCCTTCAGGGGCGTGGGGTGGAGGAGGTGGGGGAGGGGGTGTCGGCTCTCGTGGAAAGGGGTGAGGCGCGGTTTAAGGGAAGGTGGTGGTGGTGGGGGGTATTGCAGACAAGGTGGGGGCAGCACGTTAGATTAGCGTATAATTAATCGGCTCGGATCAAAAGAAATTTGCCGGTAGGCTGATACCGACTGATTGTCAATTTCCCATCGCCTCTCAATGAATGCACGGCGCCGTAGAGTCTGGGAGGGAGGGAGGTGGGGGAGAGCCGGTGGGGGGGGGTGCTACCCGGTGGCCTTCGAGAACAAATGCTCGTAATTACAACATTGTCGCGACCCCTCTAATTCCACCGTAGCGCCACGTAAACTGGCGGCAATTAGCCATTCCTTTGTGTTCCTGGCCAAGGCTTCTTCCCTCTGCCTCCTCCGCCACCACGACCCACCTCACCCCCGTCTCGAGAGACAAAGGCGGAGAGGAGGAGAGATGGAACAGACCGAACACGTACACACGTGCGCGCACTTGAATCCTTTGTTCGTAAATTCGATTTCCGAAAGTATTTAAAGGAAGGTCTCACTTAAAGAAAAAAAAAACATGACAAACAAGACAATGAAATACAGTCAATGAAATATCTTATTTGAATACAAATTCAAAATGTATACTGTCTATAGAACAGATTGGCGTTCATGACAAATACAATGCAGCAGAATGTTTTAAAAGGCAGCGAACTCTGGGTCGGTTTCTACCGTCGGTGCTCTCAGTCAATCCACGACTGGATGCATCAACCATCACGTGAAGTGCGGCCATCCTCACAACAGCGGCTTTTGGCTCGCCATCGAAACAAAGACGGTGGTCATTTCATCACGCGGCGCTTTCAGATGCGCTTTTGCGGCCGCCTGGAATTCTCTTCCTTCTAGGAAGCCGCTGAGAACTCGCCACTTTTAAATCATCATCTAGATTGAAAACTAATTTCTTTAGAACTGCCTTTTGTGCTCAGTGTGTTGCCCTTCCCCCGCACCTCCGATCAGCACGGTTGGCCTTGTACGGTGCGAAAGAAGTTCAACATGTATACACATACAATGGCTCCCCAACGCGGTGTCGTATCGTGGGGGATGTTTGACCATCAACTTCAACCACGCTTGCGAGTGCGGGTTGGTGGTGAAGGAGCGTGTGGGCCTGTACCGGGTCGGGTATCACGGCTGGGGTCCTGTATGCCGACGTTACAGGGTGGCTCCAAACGAGACGGGAGGCGATGTCAAATGTGCAACGATACACACGGTGGAGTTAAACGAATCGATAATTGACAGGTTATTTAGCGACGCCGCTGCTGCTGCGTTGGCAGTGGTGCACAGGTGCAGTTAACACAACCTAAACATTCACGCTGTGGCCTTACGAGGAAAATAATGTATACTGTATATATAAAGGCGACGTTTTCGGGCAATTGCCTTCTTCATAGTTCGATCATACTTAAATCAATAGGTATTTTAAATTAAATATGTGTGCTGAAGAAGGGCCGAAACGTTTTCCTTTCAAGGGCACACACAGAGTCTTATTGATGAATGCGCTGATTTTTGTTCTTAAAGGATCGATGACTGAACCTATTAGCGACAATTCCGATATATATAATTGTAGGTGTTATATCGAAACACTGTAATCGCCAGGGGCACTTGTTACCGACAGGTCGTACACATCTACACCAGTTCCACGGAGACCAGAATCGGAATCAGAATATCTATTTATACCGGAGGAATCCGATGAGCTACAAAGCTCTTTTTTTACAAATATCCAGTCGGGGCAGGTCAAAACATTACAACAACAAACGATGAAAAAACACCACGATAGGAAGGTAGAAAAGGCCGCATCGACACGGAAGGAGCGATTCGCGAACACACCGCTTGAGAATCACTGAGCCGGGCCAACGGATCGCTACTCGTCTGCTGCTACTGCTGCTGGTATCGATGTCTCGCTGTTTATCCCTGGTAAGTGGTGGTCGTGACCCCCCGCAGAGCCCCCCCTCCCCCGCCCCGCCCCCGATTACCTCCCCTCCCTCCCCCATCCCGGCACCCCCCGCCGCCCCCCTTCACCCGCGCCTCCTCATCCTCTTCTCCCGGCGGGTGCCCGGCGCCACGAGGCCATTTCCCGACTCACACCTTCCCCGGGACTCCACCGCGCATCAAAGGCGCCGCCCCCCCCCCCGCTCCCCCCCACCGTGATAGGCGCTCGCTAACAATTAAAGCGAATTAAAGCGGCACCCACCGAGCAGACGCATTACGGGCGAGAAGTGCGCACGTACCACGTGTGCGTTTAAAAAAAAAAGTGATGTGGAGAAGGGCTACTGCCCGATAACGTCGCCTATGACATTATTGTTATTTTTTAAGTCCGTGGGATTCAGGAATTTTTCTGAGTGTTATTCTTTTTCAAACACCGTAGCTGAGCACAGCCCACCAAAGGCCCTGAATGCCAAGCGGTCAGCAACAAGCAACACCGCTAAAATTATACAAGCTACGAGTCTCAGACGATTCTTGATTTGAGCAAAGCTACACGAATACGGGCACAGAGACGTAGGGAGGGAAGTGTTGTGACCTGCAGTGTGGTGAGTGGGTGGATGAATGTGAGTGAGCAGCGAGTGGATGAGTGAGTGAGTGGATGTATAAATGAGAGGATGAGTGAGTGAGTTGTCATGCAGCGTGGTGGTTGGGCACAGTGTAGATGAGACGAAACAGCCAGTGCCTTGTAAACCGAGTCCTCAACATGAGTAGAGGAATCAATGAGTGAAGTTCAGGGGAGCAGTCACCACGATAGTATTGATAAAAGAGCGATAAGAAGGCGGCTTATCGACCGCTATTGAGTGGGGGACTAGATTGCATACGTGCAATCATGTCCCTCGCCCATCCTCTTTGTCTTCCCAATGCCACGATGTCTGATTGCTTTTTAGCCCCCCTCCCCCCAGCTTTCTGTACGCCCCCGAGCTACGACCAGGCCAATCCCAACCCCTACTCATCAATCCCTCGTTTCACTCTCGTACAAAACTACAACAGCACTTACAATAACCCAATTCTTCAATTCAAATCATTATCGTCCTGCTATGTACAATTGTATAATTCCTGTAAAGATAGGATAACCGTCAACCACGGTATAATCACTGCGATGTAACAATGCAATGCACACGAGCTGATTCGATCGCTCCATCTCCCAGGCGGACGTGCTCTCGGACGCGTTCCAAATCCTTGACTGCCAAGCCGCCACTGTTCCTGACTTCGTCGGCCAGCTTCCCTTCTAGCAAGCGACCGGATCTTCCCAGTTCCACTTAATTTCCTGAACACTTTAAATGATGTCTATAACACGCGTATGGTGAAAAACACCATCCGGTCAGCACGGTTGGCTACGTACGGTGCGGAAGAGGTTCAACATACGTATAAGTTCTCTCGACCACGTGATCCACTTTGTCTCGCAATGTAATTCCACGCCCGCAATATCTCCAGGCTGATCTGCGCACCTTTCAGTTTTTGTTCGCATTTTTTTTCTAAGTGGCCAAAATAAATGGGAGTCATTTATTTCAGTCCCATCTATTTGAATAACACGTGTGCGTGTGCAGGGGAGAATTGGACCACGAAGAAATTTGAATATGACCTTGCCGCGTGCAGCACGCAACATGGACAGCTCCTTTGTCAATCCGCTGCTGGATTAATACCTCCCCAAACCGTGACGGTCATGGGAGTTTTTTTAACCATACTTCACCATCCTGGTGAGTGAAATGGGGATGGGGGGTGGAGGTTATAAAAAGAGGGGGAGGCCCATGATTGCTATCACTCGCTAATGATGTTAGCCGCGGCCAGGAATCGAACAGAGGAGGCTAGGTTCTTAGCTTAATCCCTAAATCATTGCGCCAACATATCCCCTTGTATAAACAAGCGAATGTGTTATACAGGGCCCCATAATATAGGTTGAGTGGTCTTGACAATAATATCTGGCAACCCAGCAGCATTTGCTGATCAAGCATAACTCTGGTGATGATACCTCAAAGGTCAAAGGCGGTCCAGAGTTCATTGCTGGCTTAAATAAATGCCGATGGATAATATTGATCATGAAAGCCGATATATGCCAATAGAGTAGAACATGTTTTTTCGTTTTTAATGTGTATACCTTTGGGGACACAGAACGATGTTTCGATTTATTTTACCGAGAGATTAATATCAGATAGCGCTGCCCGGGGCTGAGGTCCGTAAAATACCACCTTCCGTCTGCCGCCGGAAATATTACAATAGCAATAAAGCCACGTTCTTTCGTGAATAAAAGCGAGCGCCACGGTGGCGAGATGTTGACTACCTCGCCTGGTATACAGGAGGTCGTGGGTTCGATCCTGATCCTGACCCTGACGCCTGCTGCTGTATATTTGCGGCGTGCATGTCTCTCCCCATGGTCGTGTGAATGTTTTGCCGGGTCTTCTATTTTTTTCCTCCACATTAAAAAAGTGCTTTCGAGTATGTGGCTGTTGTGAAGGTCCACATTATGCCACTTCGTTGAGCTATTAATTATTTGTGAAAGCCAGATCGCCTCGGAAAAAGAGCTATATAGCTCAGTGGGTCTTACCTGGTAAAATAAAAAATAGTTTAATTTGATAGTTTTTTGTCGTTTATTTTAAGCTATATTCGATACAGCCCATTGAGACAAAGAATATCTTGTGAAGGGGAGCGGTTGTGTCAGTAACGGTGGTTCGTCAGACACAACGCAAACAAGAGCGGTAGTGCAAATATGTCGAGTGAGCCATCTTAGCTCCGAATCCCAGCCCACACAGACCAACCCCCCCCACCAAACCTTCGCCAGCCAAGTCCCACCTCGCGTTAAACAAAGGGAGTTTGTGGCGGGGATTCTCGTCTGGGCGTTAAGTCTCCGTAAACGACTACGTGCCAGTCGGGAGGAGCTAGGCGGGTGCCAAGTTGCCATGAAATAAC